GAGTAGTTTTGTCAATCGCCTTTCCTAACCCGTCAGCCATGTCTTGTAACTTCATGAAATCCGCATCATTAAATAGCTCAGAGAGAGATTGTCTGTTTTGTTTTCGTTCTGATTAATGTGTGTAGTTTGGTAATGCTTTTCTTGAGCCTAGTTTTAACCAAACCACACGATATTTGTGGATCTCGGTAGATTATAACGTCTACCGAGTAAACAGCACCTAGGAACAACATTATGAGAAATACAAATTTTTAAAAATCTAATTCTATTAACTTGTCAGGATATAGTTTTCTTGGTTCTAGTGTAGCGAGAAGACAAATGACAAGAAATCGAACCGTACGTACATTGTAGATACAAAGAGAAACTTGGTTTCGATAAATCTCCTTAGATAACATTGTTATGGGGACTTTCATTTCGAATGAAAGTGAGTACAACGAGTTTCATCCGTCCTCATCTGGTGAGATCGATCAACGAATCTCTTCTTCATGCACTTTCATTCGAAATGAAAGTCACCCTAGCAAATTAATGTAGACATGCCATCTGACTAGTACCCTAGGAATACGTGAGAATGATTTTTGAAAGACAAGATGACTTTGCTTAACGCGATTCAAACAGTAGAAAATGGAAAAGGTAGATTATAACACCGGCATTTCCCAATTATGCCGGACAAAGGGCCCCAAATAATGAAATGAAAAGGGGTTAGGGATGAGAAAGAGGATATCTGGGTGATGGGCTTGAAGACTAGTAAGATGAAGATGCCTAAGCATGGGCATCACCAACTTAAAATTCTGGAATATTAAATGAACGGGGACGGGAATTGAAGGGTCATATGAAACCAGACAACGATGTTGACGTGCAGTAGCGATCAAGTGACAAGCGGCATTGAAGAAAAGGGGGACTAAATGAAGATTAATAACCCTGGAAACGACACCTGGAACTTGTGGTGAGGATGATTATGCTTAACTAGATCCACTTGTAGCGACACAATCTTAGGCGACATTGAACAGAATGGCGTGAATAGGTTATTGGGCTATATAAAGTAGTGTTGAAAGAAAGAGATGCAGGACTAGAGGGTAGGACAAAAAATAGGGGCGAGGAGTGACGCCAGAACGGTGGAACAGGAAATTGGCCGAGGAGATTTCCTTTGTTACCTTGATAAGTTATAACTCTGTGCTGATGATGGTGCCTATAGTGCTAGCGAAAAGTTTGGGAATGTATGAAATCAATGTTCTAATGCTGAAACTCACGAATACTGTGGCAGAGGACGCTTGAATAAGTATGCTCTACAAGGTATTTCTGATGATCCGACCAAGTCGCGAAAACTAAGTCAGACCAACACCACAACGCTATACTCTTAATTTACGCACTGAATATCATTTTTAATAGGGTTTACTAAAACCTTGAATAGGCTTCATTCATAGCTAGATATGTTTCTGCATTTGTGAAACATGGATCAGTTTATTTAACCTCTTAGTAGATGTTAAAATTGTACCACCCTGACCATTCACAATTAAAATTATGAAATACTCGTATTTACTTGGCATCAACGTTTGCTTCATTCGCTTCATCGGATATTTTGAATTATTGCAAACATTATATTCAACATTGAATATATTTTAGTATAAGATGCTGCCCCAGATGATGAATATGTGATAGTGAAATTTCTCATACTGAGATGAATAGATTCTACGATGCTATTGAATTTCACTCAGCTTTACCTCGCATCTGTATGACACGCCCCTCTTTGGTTGTAATGGTACATTGTACATTACACGAGCACGCAATAAGCAGCCTCGTACTCAACTACCAGAGAAAAGGCTTCAGGACGCTGTGCACTCACCACTTGCTCCATGACACTACAGGATCCAATTGTATTTCAGCGCAAGAAATACACATACACACCATGAACACTAAAATAGACATTTTGCAACATAGAGAGAAGTTACACGTTGCATCATCATGGTTCGACTCCTGTTAGGATGTTGATAAGACCTAGACGAGATTGAAACTGCAGTTCACCCTGGATGAGAACATCATTTATGAAGACAAAGCTATGTGAAATTGAGTGGAAACGTCAGCTTACTCACATCATTGTTTGAAAATTCAACTACCAGTTCTTCATAACCTTAAACGAAATAGGCTGAATACATCTCATTTAGGGTATCTCATTTAAATTTGTGTATAGAGAAAAGTTAAGCAACAGGAATACCTGAGGGTCATATTCTATTTATGATATCTCACTTCACATATACACATATGTACCCAAGCAAGTATCTACATGAATCTGCATAAACTTAATTTGAATATATTTTTTATTCAAGATCTGCTGATATGGTCGACAACTTACGGATGCATTTTTTAAGATTCTTGCGAGTTTTGATTATCTAGCGACGTTTATCCATGTGATATTTCTTTTCTTATCGAATATTCTTCATTACGTGAATAAACTCGGCCTAAGAGCTCATGCTTTAGATAGTATCTTACATCATTCATGGTTAGAACATTTTATGATGTACAAAATGCCATGACAATTTATCTAATTATTTCTAATCTTTCTATTTTATCTCAATGTCTTGTGCGAATCCAGGTATCTTACTTCACATCGTTGTTTCCTTATCTAATGCTGACTATAATGCTAGTACGTGGTGTAATGCTGCCTGGCAGTAAGGAGGGAATTATTTACTACCTGAAGCCCAATTTCTCTCGCCTCAGCGATCCCGAAGTTTGGGTGGACGCAGCCACACAGATTTTTTTCTCTTTAAGTTGCTGTAACGGTGGCCTGATAGCTATGTCCAGCTACAACACATTCAAGAACAACTGCTGTCGGTATGAAATCGCTTACAAATTTGGTTAACCATTATTTTCACTTAGATCTTCGTTTTTTTTTAAAAACGCACACTTTTTTATTGTAAAAAAATCAACCTATCATATTACCCTACATTTACCATAATTTAGTCTGAATTGATGCGAACAAATGAAAATAGATTGAGGAGGAAGTCCACGCATGTTTATTTCTCTCTAAAATTCTTTACTAACCATAGCATGTGATCAGAGTGGGTGACAAAATTATGATGAGTGTTTAGCAGACTTAAGGGATTGCTATAAATCTTGGTTCTGCAACTATAAGTTAGGGTTACAGCCCCACCATACTCTATTCAGCCGTTCCTCTTCTCTCTTCATTTCGTATCCTCCATCTTTGGAGTTGCAGAGGGTAAGTGTTTTTTACTTTAGGGACAGTCCACGTACTTCTTTGGGAACACAACATACCTACTTTCTTTTAATAAGAAATATGATAAGATAATAAATTACTAATAGCAAAGTAGAAGGATTGCTATCTCTAATAGGCCTTTGAAATTGTCATCACATCCAATTTAAGAATGGAAAGCAATAAAATGGGTACACAAGCCTTGCTTAAAGATTTCTTGCTCCTAGAATGAGATCTTTATTCATTCTAGGTTGCATGTGATGAAGGACTGATAGTTGAATTTTCCACATGGATATGGATAGGCCTCACGTTTCCTGTGAAATTCACACGGCTTTGCTTCTTATGGGGTGTTTTCATCTAGGGTGGATTACAGTTTTGACCTCTTTGGTCATAGATATGGGTACATGTGTAAAGCTCATGGATTAGCCTACTTGCTACATCACTAGCCAGAATCTAGGCTGATTAGGTTTTCTTTTTAGTATTGGTTCGACCTTGTTTTCGCAACTTGATCGGAGCGTCAGGGAGACCTTGTGTAACGTACCTGCCATTGTATTCCTGATTTTCAGCGTTATACAATTGGCCAGTTACATTCCCAAAAGTTTCTCCGGCATCGTCAGTAAGAGGCGCCATCGTAAGGACAAAGTTGCAAATTGTCAAAGGGGATTGCCTTCACTTGTCACTAGTGCCCTAACACAAATATCAGTCTATTTTTCTACACCTAAATGATCACATTCTGTCATCAGATTTCTTAGTACTGTGCCATGATTGTCTATTAGTCCCAATTGAAAGCTGTTCTGAACTAAAATTCCTTCTAGTCTCTCCATTTTTTGGAGATTTACTTCTGCTAATACAAATATGTTATTGTTTCTTTCATTGAGACATGCGAAGCGTCTTATTTTACCTGAAATTTGCCTCTGAACTAGATTATAATTTCCCTTTGCTGATCTTGCGCCTCTTCTAAAACTTGTTTTATTTAAATCCCATATCTTAGATTTGCTAAGCACTTAAGAGGGAAACTCCTTTTTGTGGGTTTCCTTTAAATTTCTCCTAATCACCTGGTTTCTACAACGCTAGAAAATGACGGGCAATTATTGATTTTTAAGACTATACTAAACCAAATCCTTCTTCATTCTTTCAATGCTTCCAAGAATTTATCTAAGTTCTGCCGGATTGCTTAGCGCTTAGTTGTCATCCATATCAATAGTTTATGAAACAAGAATGCTTCTTAACAAATGCAAACCTCTAGTTTAGCCAACATTAACTTTCAAGG